GAAGAATGAGGTCATGCTAGACATTATCTTTGAATAACTGTCGTCATACTTGGGGAGAATAAATGATGTTCTCTGAAAGCCCTTCGAGTTTACCAACGCGGTGCAAGGTTACAAATAAAATTCATCCTCATGCAACATAAGGTACATGGGTAATGGTCAAGAATGCAAGAATTTTGGAGCTAATGGTGATGAAGAAAACGCTGAACAGTAATACGAGGCAAACTGCCCTCAAATCTGTCTACATATCTCCAATCGCTCATGTCCTCAATAATGACAAGAAAAGTGCGACCCTGAGCACAAGTGGAAAAATTACCTTCATTAGAAGAGCTGATTAGATTACGAGCTTCAAAACATAGCAATCTGTGATTGCCACACTGTAAGTCGATTCTTTTTCAGATCAAAGGACGCTCAATTTAGATGGTTTGGACGCTGGATGAGAATTTCAGAAGAAAGACTGACAGAGCAGACCTTTTACAACAGTTCTGAGAGCAAAAAGAGCCGATTCCTCAGGTAAATAGGCAGAAGTTGGAATATGAGTGGGTCAGTGACAAAGAGGTCAGTTTCAAGCTCAGGAGGAACCGGATTCGAGTGCCGAAAAAAGACAACTTTGTCTTAACCAGTACTTCACTTGAGCAAAGAATTTTTCGCCCGTCATTGCTTCAGAGCCGAGAAACGAGTAGCAAATGGAATACTTGCGAACGACACGGATAGAATGGTATTCTGGTGGTCGTACCAGCAGAATGGGTGCGGTGTATGGCCATGCTCTCCAACTTGAGCGCTCATTCTGGATGCACATCGCATTGACCAACCTGATAGCCTAATATTCTGTGTAACAAATCAGCACAGGATGTAGCCCTCCTCCCTCAAAATGGAATTTACCCGTGAAACTTGCTCACAATCGCTGGTGAACTCAGAAAATGGAAGGAGCCTCGTAAGCTGATCCACATCTGTGACATTTCTCGAGTAAATTTGAGTCAAGAGTCCAAAGAGTTATTCTTCATTCTTTTGCCAACGGGCCGCATGCTTGTCACTTTAGGTTCATCCGTTAAACTTGTCGTCCATGCTTATTTGGTCAGATAGCGTTTCTGTGATTCTCTTTCAATGACCGTTTGCGAAATTTGCGTCTTAGGCAAATACAAAATTACGAAGCACTTTGAACAGGTACTTTATATAGTAAGAAATTTTTCATAGTAAGGGCTGATAACCAAACTTAATGAAGACTAATGGTGACAATCAGGCCGTTGTTCATTTAAAATGACTCTCTCAGCAGTTGTTCTGGAAACAAGCCAGCACGAAGGTTATGAAGGAAACCGGAACTTTGGAATTTAAATCAGTCAAGTTGGCCGTTACTCAGTGAGGACTTGTCGACACCTCACCAGGAGAGTTCTTTCATAAACTTTTGTTGAACAGCGATCAGTCGCTATCAGTCACCACTAATTCATTCATAGGTTGGGGCTCGGTTCGCTGTGTGGCGATTGCTATGTGTAGTCAGGCGGGATAAGGTAGAGAGTCAACAACGGATGCGATGCTAATGGGTGGAGATGCAGCGAATTGGGGCGGAAACGAAACTCGGCGAAT